TCTAGGATGCCACTGCCAAGTCCTTGTAAGTAACAGAAAAGAATTTCATGACTTGGTGCAGTGTAACCATGTAAGGGCAACTCTGTCCATCTTGTATAGCACAAGTACAGTTCATTCCCTTTCTTGGCTCTAGAAGATCTGAACTATTCCTGTCACATGAAAACAAAGAACATTTTACACCACAATACCAGAAAATGAAACTCAAAATTGATTTTAAAAAGCCACATACCTTTCCTTCTTAGTGTCCTGCAGGGTTCTGCAACACCTCATGCTGGATGCACTACCACTGATGGCAGTGGGAATTTCACAAAGCATTTAGGACAGCATTAATCCCCTCCCAACTGAACTACATTTAGGATATGGCATCATAGCATTTCATCAGTTTATTTTCCAAGTAATTAATGAGAAAGTGATGTTTGTTGCTCTTCATATTTCAGAATTAAAAAACAAAAAACAAAAAAACAACACAAAGCAAGACCGTATAAATAGCAGAGAAAGTATAATTCCTAAATACATAATTAATATTTGGTACAAATTTCATTTGGTATGTTTATGTTCTAATGGACTTTTATCGTTTAAAGAGACACCCAAATGACCTCAACTTCATTTTGAACTTTTAAGCTGTCAGTTCACTTTCTCTTAATGGGGGAATTCCACTGAAATCCACACAGATGAGCAAAGTCCCAGAGGATTAGATGGAAGTCAACAATATTTACTCTTTGGTAAACTAGGCATTTATCAGCAGTAAACAGATACTGGTTTATTTAGAGTTCTTCCCTAATGCCGAGGCAGAAGCAGCTAATTTAAGATACGTCAGAAACATGAAATCCAATTAGAACTTATCTCCTTCTACTGCATACAAAAGAAGTAATGAGAATTGGACATCAGCCAAGCCAAAATTTCTCCCTTTGGAATACTGTAATTTGTGTTTCCAGAAAGCGCTTTCAGAGATTTATCTGCTGGAAACACAGCAGAATTACAACTAAAAGCTTTTTTTTTTTTTTTTTTTTGAGGTCTCTCTCATGGCTGGCACTGATGGCAGAAAATAACTCCAGAATAAAGAGTATTCAACACAAAGCCTTTTTTTCAGTCTTTTCAAATGAACTCCTGCTTGGTTGAAATGCAGGAGTTCAAAGGTTCTGTCACAGTGGAGGAGGAGTAAATTCAAGGGTCATCAGTGGGAATGCAGAACATACAAGCAAAGGTGTTTTACCTTATGGCTGTTCTGACAAAGCCTAACAGTTGATTTTAATCCTCTCTGTGGAATTTGCTTCTGAAACAAAGGTCGACTTTACTCTGCAACTACACTTTAACATGGACTGATCTACTGCACCTAGCTTCAACAGATACAATCTTCCAAAGATGTATGCTGGAGCTTGAAGTGTCAAGAGGACAAAACACAGATAAGGGGAAAGATACAAAGCTTGAGATAAATGATCCTCCTTGGCTTGATAGTGCCACTATTTCACACTCTCAAGAGAAGTCTGAGGTTGACGTTTCCCACACCAGTTCTACATGGAGACAATTTATAGCATGAGCAGGAAAACAACACAAAATGTATCTCTTGAGAAAACTCTGAATTTGACAGAGCAAAGACAATTGCAAACTGTCCTAGAGGAATTAACATAGTATAATCAGGATACAATATTGCTTTCTTGCAACACACAGTACTTTCTTTCCCAATGACCGCTTTGTAAGTTTATTCAGCAGTCCAGAAACAGTTCTGATTAAAAATAAATACCTTAAGTACAGCAGGCAAAATCATAAATCAACTTTTTCAAATTAAATCATAAACATTTCTTTGTGTGTTACATCAAAAGCATGAAATTATGGAAAATGGCCAGAGAGAAGGAATGGGCAGATAAGAAATGCAAAGTCAGCTGATATTAATTGATGCTGCTTGCAGACTCCCTGGATTCTGCCAGTAAGATAACTAAGAAATAACACACCAGCAAGCAGACAGTTTATCTAGCCACTGAAAGACTATTAAGTCAGCTATCAAAATATGCCAGATACTAGGAGTTATTTCTCCATAAATCACTTTCTCACTTCTCAGCATCAAGGTCATACTTAAGGGGTTAAAAGTCTGAGTCTCTTTCATGCTGCAATCAGGCTGCAAGCACACAACAAAGTATTATTATTATTTTTTAAGTTTTCCATGAGCTTCAGTATTTGTAATTCACTTACAGAACGTGTCAAAGAACAGAAAAAATATTGTGAGCCTTTTATCAGCACGAAAAAAAATAAACTTTGATAGCATAACCAAAACAAAGCGTTTGGTTTGGCCAGTGAAAAATCAGCAAACAGGATTAGATTGTTCCATTGCAAACTGTTCCACTAGAAATGAAAAGAGATGAGCTACAACTGCAAAGCTTGTTATAAATAGAAAGATTATAGTGGACAAAGAGTGAAATGGAAATTCTTGATTTACATCTGGCGCTGCTGTACAATCTGATTTGTCCTAAGAATTCAAAATTAGAAACTGTATAATGCATCCTTCATTGATACACATTTCTAAGTACTTTTATGACAAACCATAATGAAATCATAGGTGTTCACTACTTGCACAAAAGACACAGCACAGTATAGGTTGGAACTGTTTATTTTACATCCAATGTATCCATATTAGTTTCAGTCATTAGAAGTTCCTAGAAGAAAATAAAACAAAGATGTTACAAGCTGTTACACCTCAACAGCTCCAGTAAGTATTTCAGATCAGCTGTGCAAGCATCCTAAAAATACAGTGTATACATTTCCATCCTGAAATTTGGATTTGGACTGAACATTACCTCTGCAAATGTTATTATGGAAAGATAAACATACGTACTTGGAAACGATTCCATCATTTTTTGCCAGACGCAGAATGGAGTCATCTGATTCCCCCTATAAGAAAAACCATAATTCTTAGGTAAGTGAACGATTGCTGACACAGACTAAAAAGAGGCAGCAGCATGTACTGATGGCAGTGAAATGCACAGGGTTGTTTATTTTTTTTTCCAAAACAGATCCTTGCATTTTATTGCCACAGATTACTGTTTTTAAAACAAGCTGTTAATTTTTCATTCTTCAGAATAAGAAACAAAACAAAATACACACTTGCATTAACAAGACATATTTCTGAGCAAATGAACTGCTGATGAACTCTAGGAAGCTTCACAAAATGCTTGTTTAACAAATTTAAGACAGTATCATATCTAATAATGATAAACAAAGCCAGGTATCAGTTGCTCAGTGTATTCTTGGAAGAAAAAAATTCATTTGCATCTTCTAGTGATTTTTAAAAAATACAAGCATAAATGATTCTCCAAATCAAAGAATTGAGGGAAAAACGTAAGAAATTGATTCTTAAAGTCAATTAGTTCATGTCTTCACCCTGTCTTTATTATTCCAGCAAAAGCTCTTCCTCCAGAATGTGCTGAAAGCACACTTCATTTTCCAGGGCAAACAAACCTAAAAAATCACTGACCAACATAAACAGGACCACAATCATACTGTTTCAAGAAAATACCCACCATCCTACGAATTGCTCCACAGATGGCATATGTTTTGAACTGCCCATTGACTCTGCCTGTTACCTTGTCGACCTGTAATTACAAGCAAATTACTCCACAGAGATTCTTACAGAATTCTTACCAAGTTTTACTGTTTTACATCATACTTGCCAAAAGCTCTCTAACAAATATTATTTGTTTTTCTGCAAAACCCCAAGGCAAACACTTCCATTAGAATCTACGAGGTATTTATTCAAAGCAAACGTATTGTTTACTATGTAATGTAGCTGTAACATCTAATGGATCTCACAGCATTACAAAATGCAACAGAAAATGGTAAACATTACTGCCTGTTTAGTGTTTTTTCAAGTTTATTTTAGTTAAGTCAAGGTAATTAATTAAGTCAAGCTGCCCAGAGAGGCTGTGGATGCCCCAACCCTGGAGATGTTCAAGGCCAGGTTGGATGGGCCTGAGGCAGCCTGGTCTGGTATTAAATGGGGAGGTTGGTGGTCCTGCATTTGGCAAGGGGTTGGAGATTCATGATCCTTGAGGTCCCTTCCAACCCAGGCCATTCTGTGACTCTGTGATAACGTAATGGAAAATTTAGGTGTGGGCTGAAGGGTTACAATGTTGTTACAAAGAAAGAGAAACAACCAAGCTGAAGGACATGAATGGCCTCATTCTGTCCGATAACTGAGAAATTTAATGGGAGAAATAAGACTGAACAATATAAATAATGAGATTAAACAGCGTAGTGAACACTGTAATACCACGTGGGTTAGTTTCCAAGTTCTGCTAATCTCTGATCTTTGGAAAGCAAGCAACAAGGGATCACTGAAGGACAGAATGAACAAAGGATGTATTTGCTTAACAGTTACAAGAAATCATAAACAAAAATAATTTAAAAAAATGTTTTAAGTCAGATGGATTTTAAACAGCAGGATCTCTTGATTTACATTGGAATGTAGCCTTGTGATCTCTCACTCAAGAAGAAATAAACAAAACTTCTCAATTCTTTTAATACTCCATGCTCTAATTCAACAAGAATATGAAATTGAAGAACAGGATGCACCAGAAAAGGCTGAAGAAACGTGCTTTCTTGGACAGGTAAAACTGAAAAAGATACCAATCTTCCACAATTAAGAACTTCTTTCCATTTCCTTCAAAATGGAAAAGAAATCCCCTAATTTTAACTCTAAAGATCTAAAGTTGGATGTTTTATTTAGTCACATAGTTAAATGGTCAGAAATAGGTCATTTTCAACCAAAAGGTTGAAAAATAACCAGGAATGACACAGTAGTATCCTAGCAAGTACAAAAGCTCTCTAGCTCTACACTTGTATAATTACTGAAGTTTACAACAAGTGTTTGTATTTACTAACTTCTATCAAAACTGAAAGGCACTGCTCTCTTATCAAACCCTTCTGTTAAGAAACTTACCTCAGAAATATTTATCTGAATGGAAGCATGGTCCTTAGCACCAATTATTCGGTTGCTGGCAGAGCTAGGAAGTAAATAATGAGGTATACTTAAATAGATTGTCAAAGCTAGACTTACATGAAGACAATAGCTGCACAAGTTCACAGGGACAACATGAGGCTCAGACACTGCAGTGCACAAAAAATCAGAATTCAGTTTTAAGAATGTTTAATGGAGACTTTCACTTTAGTCATTCTCAGTTGCCAACGATCCCTACAGTTTGGCATGCTCAGTTTATTTCTATACAGTGCAGCTACAAGCACAGACCTTCAAAATATTGTACTACATTTGACTTTTCTAATGTGCAAAAATCATTAAGTCATTGAAATCCTTAAAAAATGTATTTTCTATACCTTTATTCACTAGAAGCCATAAAAGCTATCAAAAAAAACTCATGCTGTTCAGTCTGCTCAGAAATTACTGGCTTCAAAAACATCTAATTAAAAAAAAAAATCACCCCAAAATAAACCATTTATGTGCATCTTATGAGATGTAAAAAAAACCCTTCTCACTATCCATTTTGTACACACTCAATGTTGTCTTTACAATGCACTCCCAAGATAACAATCATCTAACACATTTTCTGCAACAGCCTGCAGTGTAGAAATGCTACTACACTTCAAACACGTTTCCTTTGAAAGCAGCCCTAACGATCTGCCACAGCCACCGTAAGGGCAGCTGCTGTGCAACCCAAGATAGGGTATTCTCTTCAAATACAGTCTTCGCTGTAAAAAAAAACAAACAAAAAAAACTTATAGAAGATAAGTAGAAATACAGAAATAAGATTCACCTCCCCCCCACATACTCCCTCCCCACCAAACATAACAGGCCAAGCGTCAGCCTCTGCTCCCTTTCTTTGCCCGGGAACCACCACAGCACCGCTCACCATTTCCGAGGCACGTAGAGGTCCACGAACTCGCCGGCGTCGTTCTGCATCGTGTGCGGATCAGGCCGGGCACGGAGCGCTGAGATCTGGAATGAGAGAGGCAGAGCTCAGCGCCCTGCCCACGAGGCCCGGGCCCTACAGCTCCCCCTACCCCGCCTTACGGCACGCTGCGAACGGAGCTACGGTCACCCTCCCTCCCGCCTTCCAGCCCCCAGGAACTCCCCGGCTCTCGCAGCCCCTTTGCGCCGGTCCCCGCCCCACACCAAGAGCTGCACTCAGAGCAGCCGCGCGCCGCCGCCATACCTCACCCACGCACCGCGGCGGAAAGGAAGAGCTGCTCACCGGAAGCGGAAATGAGAGCGCGGGCGGGGGAGGACTTCCGGCGTGGCGTCATGACGTCACAGGCGGCGCTGTGCTCCCTCAGAAGCGGCGCGGGCCGCGCTGTCAGCCCTCCCCGGCCCGCCGCCGGCAGCACAAGCACCATTCCGAAACGCGACGTTTGCTTACAAAACACGTATCAAAACAGTTTTTATTTCACAGCATCTTCAACGCACAAAGTCGATGGGGAGGAAAAAAATTAAGAATACATGGAACGGTCTAAGCCAGATTCTTAAATAAAATAGTAGTATAGAAAAAAAAAAACATAACACAGCTTTTTTTTTTTTTTTTTCTCCCTTTTTCTTTTCCTTCCATACACGAGGACGTACAGCCTCTTGTCGAGAATCGCGAGAGCAGCACCGCACTCAGGTAGACAGCATTCAGCCACACCTGCCCCGTTAGGAGTGCTCCGGGCACGGATGAAGCTGATTCGGGTTTGAGTCCCGCTTCATTAATAGGTAACGCAGTAATGGTCCTTTGCCACGTGGTGGCAGCCTTTAGGTGAAATGATAAATATCGCCACGAACAAAACGAACGGGGCTGGAAGCTACGCACTGGAAACAGAAAAATAAACACATGTACACAGCTACTGTATCGCTCCTGGACTGATCCTGCAGCGACAACGCAAAAGAGGTACTCATTTACAAGCTGCATCTGGCTGCTGTTGGCCCAAAGCACTGCTTGTGCTCCTTTCCAACATCACTGCCTCACTGGGCTGTCGCATCTGCCTGCACCCCGCATGGCCTCCAGGCTCAGCACCACTGCGTGGGCCTCAGCCAGTGTTTAGAGTTACTTTTAAAGAGCATTCTATCACTCCTAATCCTAATCTGTTCTTCTGAAGAAGAAACAAAAAACCAAACCGCACCAAAATATAACCAAAACCTTACCCATTTATGATGGTAAACAATAGTTCCCATTTTGCAAGAGGAACTCCAGCCCAGACATCCACTGCAACTAGAGAAACTTCCACTGAATACAGACTGAACTGTTGCAAAAATAAATGCATTTTTTCCCTTATATGGTGAGAAAGTTAATTGTTAAAGAAAACTCTTCATATGCTAAGTAGAATGAAATCCCCGGAGACATTCTCCAACTTCATTCTCACTAAGCAAAGTGGTTTATGAATTTCTGGACATACCACCTGAAAAATTTCTTTGCTCAATTTCAGTTCTTCCTCCTCACTCAGTGAACACAGGGAGCAATGGACCACATCAGTTGTGCTCACATCTGTTCACTAATTCCAAGGCTCACTATATATGTTTAGCACTTTGTTATTAATCGCATGCAAGGACAGTTATATTCACTAGAAAGTTGAACCAGTAGGAAATTTTAAAACCCTTCTGTTAAATAATTGGCAAGCCTAACTTATTACCTACATCTCACTTACAGAGATTGGAAAGTCCTTCTGTGTTAAAGAGAAGCCAGAAGCATATTAAATTTACACAAATAACTTGAAGCTACGTACAGCTGAACACAGTTACAAAGGAGTCAATAGTCAATCGAGTTATTACATATGAAAAATACAATTTGAGCCCTACATAAAGAGGAAGGAGCTCCAATACAGTTTGCTGCAACTCTAATGAAGCAAAATTAGCTTCAGGCAAAACGTGGCTGAAGAACAAAGATTCAGCTTTGTTTTTGCCTACAACATCTAATACAAGGAACAGAAATTTACATTACTTTACATATTAGATAGCAGGTACCCATACCTCAATACAAGGGTTAGCATTTCCATTTAGAAGTCAAACAAATTACAAATTTCTCAGTCTTAACAGCCAAGCATCAGTTTTGCTTCTTGCAAATGGACACAGCTACCTGTATCGTAATATTGCTTCAGAAAATAAAACCAAGAGCCAATATCACAAAAGGTTCCACATGTAATCAGAGTTCATTTCCAACCTGAATATTTCAGGAACAAATGAGGGAATAGTCAATGGTCAAAGAACTGATTAACCTCTGTGTAGCAGTGGGGTGCTGCCTGGCACCAGCTGGTTAAGTAGCTGTTCACATGTGCAACAAATGCTAGTATTATGAAGACCGTCACAGTGATGCAATGCTTGGAAGAACGGAGTACAAAAAAAGTAGCATTTTCAATATCAAGCATGCTTGGTGTCATTGGCTTGGTTTGACAGAAATAGCATTACTGACTTAAGTACTTGCTCAGAGCACGTAGGACCATATATAATACAGTCCTACTGAAAAAGGTGCTTAGTTCAGACTACAGGACACAGAAACAAATCAATATAAGAAATTATATATTTTAGACCAAGTTGCTCTTGGTCAAAAGCACTCATCTTTCATTTAAGAGTGAACTGGGCTGGTAATCACCTTGCTGCAGCTACCTTGTTCAACAGGTGGTATTTCATGACAGACTTCAAAGCAATCTTTAAATAAAATGTGTGTTCTTAAGATATTATAGTTAACTAAATTGAAACAGCAACTTCAGTCTAGTTATAGATAGGACAGATGCCCTGGGTATCACTAGTGCAGATATACTGGAATTGTTTTCCTTATACGCAAGGCCAATGCAGGTAAAGAATAAATGGCTATATAAATTCAGGATTCTCTATGAAATAACATAACTAACTTAAAAAGTACTGGTACCAGACCAGCCAGTTTTAGGCACATCTTTAAAAAAAATAAAGTATGTGTTCCATTAATGTAAAGATGGAAGAAGACTCTCGGAAACATCTGGACTTTATGGTGCACTGGAATGGAAGTGATGCTTCCTTTAGTTTCAAGGAATAAAATAAAAGCTTAAAAAAAAAAAACAATACCATAGGATTCTTCATAGGGAAGAACAGTTTTAGTAAAACTGAAAAGATAAATAAGGAATAATCAGCAGCCATGACAGCTGACTGGTGAATATTTGTGCTTTAAATGTCCAAAACAAAATGAAGTTCAACAACTCTTCTCGTACCATCTCCCAGACTTCACACGTGTCCATAACGCAAACCTCGACAGTTTGAAAACACACTGCAGACTTGAGAGCTAGAGCTGGCAGGATGCTCCCAGGGCACAAAGGCCAATGGCAACGTCAGCAGCAGAGCTCAGAGATGTTATCCCCAGCGCTGCCAGCTACCAGCTGGAGTGTAGCTTTGGTTAAGACTGTTGTGTGAGCCGTCTGTAGTGAGGTAACACTTGGTTTTCCGGAAGATAGAGAGCCAGTTCCAAAGCTACAAGGACAGTGAATTCAAAACCAATAAGATCTCTTCTGTTGAATCTGAATCTCTCTTCTAGTTTCTATGATAGTAAGAAATAAAAAAAAAAGTAGAGGGAGAGAAACAGAATCAGTTATTGAGAATTTATCAATGCACTTTCAGATTAAGTCAGCATAAAAGAGGAATAAGTGATGCAAGACCAGAGAGAAGTATTGCCACAGATCAAACATGTAGATCAGCACAGCTGTCACACCCACACAACAGTTACTGTTTTCCAGGCAACTACTGAACAAAAAAAAACCTCACTGTAAGATCAGTAGGACATTTACTGCATCAGTCAGGAGCTTTTCATAAATTAGAAAAAGCATCCAAAAGGAAGAGCCCTGGATGAAGCTTGAAGCTCACTGAAAGAGATAGTCTTGAATGCAGCATGCACTGCTGAAAATCTTGTTTCTTTTTATCTTTGCTTTGTTCTACAAAAAAGGAAGGTTTTGACCACACCCAAAACATGCCTCATAGTACTTACATCTATAAGATGTTTAACTTCGTGTTTCCTGAGATCACTGCTGATCTTGGCTGCAAGCAGAACGCAAGCACCAGCACACAGTTTGCGGTTCTGTTTGTTGAGTTTGCCTTGGAGAACAAGCTTCTCAAAGTACACATAAGCCATGGACACAGTAACTGGCTCCAGATTGCATTCTTCACTCAGATTCCGCATCTCTCTCTTCAAACTAAGAACAGGGAGGAAAAAAGAAAAAACACCCTCTGACACACAACAGTTTTTTGAAAGTGTACACTTCAGCGTGTACAACCTACAGTCTGAGTTTCACTGTGGAAACTCAGAAGAGCACACATTCAAGACTCTTATTTGGAAAACCAGGACTGGTATTATCCCAGACTGGAGCAGCCCAGTTGGCAGCAAGCTGGACCTGATCCATGAACTGATTTAACCTGGCTGACTGTGGAAGCACAGTTCCTTATCTGACCGTGAACACTGAGTTCAGCTCCTTCACTGAAGCACAGGCTGTTGCTGTATGGATCCCTCTGAGATCCCAAACAGGTTCACGATTCATAAGACCCAACTGCCCTGACCTACACACCATCACATCAACGCTGTGCAGAGAGAGGCCTGTCTCCCACACACCTCAGAGAAGAATTAGGTCTGAGGGGGAAGGCAAACTGCTTCATACCCTCCCTCAGCGGATGGCCCTTCACTTCTGCATGAAGGTGAACGTTATGCTGGATGCTCCCTCTCACTGCTATCACCATGCTACAGAGCTCTCTGCAAAAATCCCTGCTTGAAACAACTACAAAGAGGAGCATGCAGGGCACTGCCAGACTTTGAATGAGCAAACCTTGTCCTCAGCTGGGAACTGCAGTGCTAGTGATTCAGCAGTATCATGTTCTAAGCTGGCTATTTCAGAAGGCCCTAATTGCATTAACTCTGGTGTAATACCAGCAGGATTACAGCTCTCAGAATGCGTAACAGTACATCTCATTGGTGAACATTCAGACATTTCCTGGATGGTGAGGAATTCTGTGTGCACAGTCCTGCCTTCAAAAAAATACTTTTCTTTACCAAGTGTTCCCAGAACAGACTTTTTTTTTAAATTCTAGAATACTGTTGAGACTACATTCATCAGCAAATCTTGCAATTGAAAGGTGAAAACAGCCAGAGAGACAAGCTGGATAAGAGAAGGACTGCATGAAAACCAAACAATCAAGTTACAAGTATTTGTTTCAAAACTGATACTACTTCATTGTTAACTGGCTATTAGAGTTGATGAAACAAAACTCATCTAGGGGATCAAATGATGAAAACCAACTGTTACTCTTTCCCAGCAACCTAAGCATTCCTGTCATCCTACAGCCAGCTCAACCAGCAACAAGAGATTAGCATTTAATCATATATACTATAAATAGATCTAGTATTTGCTCCATACAAGTGACAGATAAAAGCAGCCTTGCACTGTGTAGATGATGTTCTCATTATTCACTGCTTGTTCCTTACCTCCTAA